GGGCATGGTGGCGCATGCCTGTAGTCCCAGCTACTTGGGAGGCTGGGGCAGGAGGATCACTTGAGCCCAGGAGTTTGAGGTTGCTATGAGCTAGGCTGACGCCATGGCACTCTAGCCCAGGCAACAGAGTGAGACTCTGTCTCAAAAAAAAAAAAAAGAGAAGTAGGAAAGAATCTATATTTTGAAGAGGCCTCAGTATTAAGTTAACTAGTTATTCTTTAAAATGGAAGGCTTTTTAATACTTTCCAAAAACAATAATCATGAGACAAGCTAATTCTAAAAGTTGTCTACTTACTATTGTGGTACTTGGGAAGATATAGCTGTCTATTAATATAGTTTCCAAAATATCTTGATCTGCAAGACAAGGGACATGCCTAAAATACCAAATATTTTTTGGTACTAAACATACCAAAGCTGAAACGAAAACTTCAGAATCAAAATATACTTTAAATAACATAAAATACTTTTACTTTCATATCTAAAGTATACCTCAATGCTTGATGAAGAATTAAATTATAATGACATGAAGACATATTTATAACCTTTATGAATGCTGGACCCTCATGACCCAGCTCCACATGGAATCATAGTCAAAGAAGCACCATCTGAATCATCAAAGTAGTAATAAAGGAACTTCAACTTTTAATTTATGTCCTTTGAAAATATTAAAGAGGATCTAATTAATAATGTTGAACAATTGTTCCCTTATCCTTTTTATGTATTGCTGGATTTTACTTACTAATGTTTTATTTAGGATTTTTGTCCTATGTTTATATTCATGAGGGATGCCAGTCTGTAATTTTTTTTTTTTCTGTAATATCCTTGTCAGTGTTGGTATCACAGATATGTTACCTTACAAAATCGGTGGGAACTGTTCTCTCTTCCTCTATGCTCTCAAAGAGTCCATGTTAGATTGGTATTATTTCTTAACTGTTTGGTAAAATTCACTAAGGAAGACATTGATGTGATGACATTTAATCTAATACCCAAATGACAAGGAGTAAAGATCTGGGCAGGACAGCATTCCCGGCAGAGATATGAAAACTGCAGAGGTCGTTAGTGGAAACAAGTGGACATATTGTAAAACCCCCATAGGGAATATGAGTGTTCTTTCTGTTATAGCTACTTAAACTATATATACATCATATAACAAATGCTTTAATCAGTTGAATACACATTGAATTTCAATTTTTATTTGGGAGATGGGAAAACTAGAAAGAAGTGACTAATTTGGGAGCAAAGACTCCAATTTTTAAAGGATGCCTTTGGTATCAAGAGAAAACATTACCTTCGTAAATCTACAATTTACGTAACATTCTCACATAGTAATATCAACATTAATATCTGTATACTTTATACAGATGCCTCTCTATTTACAATGGGGTTACGTCCCGATAAACCCATCGTAAGTGAAAAATATCATACGTTGAAAATACATTTAATACACCTAAGCTACCAAATGTCATAGCTTTGCCTACCTTAAATGTGCTCAGAACACTTACATTAGCCGACAGTGAGGCAAAATCATCTAACACAAAGCCTATCTTATAGTAAGTCTTGAATATCTTATGTAGTTTGTTAAACACTCCTCTGACAGTGAAAGACAGAATGGTTGTAAGGTACCTGAGGTATGGTTTCTACTAAGTGCACAAGCTTTCGTATCATTGTAAAATCAAAAAATGTTAAGTCGAACCATCGTAAGTTGGGACCTTCTGTATAATATTTTCTATGTGCTAGACAATGCTTTAAATGTATTTCATATGTTAATTCATTTAATCTCCACAACCCTACAAATGAGGTTGTTTTGTTTCGTAGGGAATGAAGCACAGCATAGTAACGCATTCCTAGTCACACAGGAAGTGGGAGGTCAAGGACTCAAACCCAGGCAGTCTGGCACCAAAGTACATGCACTTCACCACAAAATGCCTTTCCTCATCTTATTCTTATAAGAAACCAAAGCAGCCCAACAAACCACACTATTAATGCCTGATTTAGGTTATCAGGACTTACTCGAAAGTTGGAAATCCTGCCTAGCCTGGAATTCAACCCAATGGCTCCAATCCTCTCCCCACTAATTAAAGCTTCTTTTCTTTAGGCTGTTGCAGGGAACTCTTGACTCCCATTCTTGTTTCCATGTGGAGGGCCTTCCCTAGAGAAATACACGCACTCTTTCCCTACCCCTTACTCAGCACTCCCTATGAAAGAAAAATTGAGTTTATTAGACTGGTGACATTGGAAGAAGGAACAGGGGCATCTCTCTCCCCACTCCCCCTTTCTCTCCGCCAGCTTGTCTGCAGGAGACATGAATGTACTCCAGGCTGCCCTTTGTCATGTGCCTTGCGTGTGTTGGGGTGCAGGGTCTGGGATTATTCAGCTATGCCATGAATTAGATAGGTAAATCTCTAATTCAGGAGTAAAGTATTTGCAAGCTCACTTGACTAGAGATCGAAAGCCATGTCCCCAAACATCTCTTTTATCTCTCTCAATTGCTTCCAAACTCAGGTATAAAGGAGGAGTGTTATTTATTGGATCCCTGAAACTCAGAGTCCATCTGCTCATCCCTCCTATTTTGAAAGAAAGATGGAAGATGTTTCTTCTTCTGACTCTCCCCTAGGTTCTCCCTCTCTATTTTTATTGTTTTCATAGAGTTTACTTCATATGAGGGACCTCTAGGACTTTCACCCCAAGAATGCCAAGGCCTTCCTATAATTATAAATATAGACAGATGGGAGGTTTTTTGCGGGGGAGGAGGTATACGTGGCAAAATTATAGTCACATGCTGCAAAACAACATTTCGGTCAATAGACCACATATACAACAGTGGTCCCCATAAGATAATAGCGTATTTTTATTGTACCTTTTCTATGTTTAGATAAATGAATACTTACCGTTATGTTACAATTGCCTACAGTTTTCAGTACAGTCGTATGCTGTGTAGGTTTGTTTGTAGCCTAGGACCAATAGGCTGCACCGCATAGTCTAGGTGTATAGTAGGCTATCCACCTAGGTTTGTGTAGGTACACTCTACGACGTTTGCATGATGATGACAAAATCACCTAATGAGGCATATCTCACAACATATCTCCATTGTTAAGTGATACATGACTGTATTTAAAAGTCTTCTTGACAAAATTAATAAAAATAGCCACTAACACTTTTCAAAGAATATTTGAGAGAAGTCAACACCAGAGCAAAAAAGGTGGCATCACCAAATACAAAATAATTATTTTAAAAACTAGAATTATGGATGGAGGTTGTCCTACCACCCTTTCAACCAGCTGAAATACTTCCTCTTTTTTATCCTTCTTACTGCTGGGTTCTTTAAGTACCCTCTTGAGCTTCCCCCAACTTTTTCATCTGCAAAGTGAGAACCTTTGTGAACTAAAATTTTAAGGCTCACTCCCGCCACTGGCTGACTAAATGGACTCCCTCTTGACCAAAGGAATATCCTGAAACTACATTGCCTGCCTGGAGGAGAGAGGTCAGAGATGCCTTATCATGCCCCCTCCCTTCTTGGGGACATCCTTTGTAACCCATTAACAGGCCTAAGGCTATGCAAGACAAACCTGCAGGTCCTCAATTTACACAACAAATCTATGTCCAGTGGCTTGTCTCTGATAAGCAGCTCCTTATGTTGAACCATTCCAAGCCTTTAGACAAAGCTTCATATCTTTAACCAATTACAAGCCAAAAAATCTTTAAAAACACCTATAACCTATAAGCCCCCCCACTTCGAGATGGCCCACCTTTTTGGGCCAAACCAATGTATGCCTCCCACATATTGATTTATAAGTTTACCTGTAACCCCCTGTCTCCCTGAAATGTATAAAACCAAACTGTGACCCAGCCACAATGAGTCCACTGCTCAAGACCTCTTGGGCATGGCTCAGGGTCATGGTCCTCGAATTTGGCTCAGAGTAAATCTCTTTACAATTATTTTACAGAGTTTGGTGTTTTTTTCTGTTGACACCTTCCATTTCAAAGGATTGGTATATCAAATGATATAAAGTATTTTGTGAATTATAAAGAGTTATAGAAATATAAAGTACTATTACTGTCTCCCAAAATTACTGCTTTAACCTCTTAGGTCTGCGGTCCCCAACCTGCTGGCCAAGCTCCCAGCATCAGAGTGCCACCACTGCCCCCACCCCCACCCCCACTCCATGCCTGGAAAAACTGTCTTCCATGACACTTAGGAAGGCCAACAGGAGGTGGGGGGGGCAGTGCTTGAAGTTTCATCTGTATTTACAGCCACTCCCCTCCCCATCCGGCAAAGAACAGTTTGAGCTCCGCCTCCTCTCCCCCCACATCTCCCCCATGTGTCCATGGCAAAATTGTCTTCCATGAAACCGGTCCCTGATGCCAAAAAGATTGGGGACTGCTGTCTTAGGTGACAACCAGAGCATAAGAGGTTATTGATCCAGATCATTTTCTTAATGAATCACCATGCAGTCACAATTAACACAGCAGGCCTGGGTGGCCAAACTCTGCATATTCTAAAGAAAGCTTTGGCCCTTGACTGGTTCCTTGGAGATAACCCCTAAGTCCTTGGAATATCTTGCTTGACAAAAGCATCTTTTTTTACCTGGAGCTTGACCTCTGAAGAAACTAGAGACTGAGTAACTAAGGTCAGCCACACGGGCACTCCCTGTCTATGAGACTGACCCTCAACAGAAACCCTAAAGAGCAAGGCTCAGGTGAGCTTTCCTGGTTGGCAATACTTCATTTGTGTTGTCATTTATCTTTGCTAGGAGAATTAAGCACTGTCCATAAGACTCCACTGGGAAAGAACAATTGGAAGTTTGCATCTGGTCTCTCCTGAGCTCTGCCCTATGCACCTTTACTTGTTGCTGATTTCAATCTGTATCTTTTCACTGTAACAAACTATAACAGCTTTGCAAAGTCCTGTGAGTCCTTCTAGCAAACTGTTGAATCTGAGGGTGTTCTTAGGAGCCCCTGACTACAATTATTAACTGCCCAAAGCTAGAATCTTTTTATTTTTTTAAGACAGTGTCTTGCTCTGTCGCCCTGGGTAGCATGCAGTGGTGTCATCATAGCTCACTGCAACCTCAAACTCCTGGGCTCGAGGGATCCTCTTGTTTCAGCCTCCTGAGTAGCTGGGACTACAGGCACACGCCCCCATGCCCAGCTAATTTTTCTGTTTTTTGTAGGGACGGGTTCTTGCTCTTGCTCAGGGTGGTCTTGAACTCCTGAGCTCAAAGGATCCACGTACCTCCGCCTCCCAGAGTGCTAGGATTACAGGTGTGAGCCACCATGCCTGGCCTCCCCAAAGCTATAACCAGATTATATGATTCTGAACTAACCAACTTAATGTCACAATCAGTTCCTGGGAGTCAAAGTTCACCAACTAGAATATACAACTAGAGAAGCTGGAGAAAGAATGAAACCAGGAAAAAAATCAGCAATTTCAGTTCTTTCCTCAAGTTGTTATTCATTCATTTTTTTTTAAGAAACCACTGCACCAGTTTTTTTTAATATTTAGAATATTTTTTTAATATTTAGAATTCCTCAAAATATACAGATGTTTTGAAAAGATAAATTAGCTGCTAGTACTCTAGTTCTTTGACAGAACTCAAGAGGCTACTCTTCATTAGTAATTCTACCTCCGTTAGCACAAAATTGACCTTGGGGTTATTTGGTAAAGCAGGACTAGTGGCAGTCTACATTTCAAAAAACATTAAGCCCTTAAACCCTTAAAAGATTAATCAGATAAATATACTTCCTGCCTTGAAAGAGCTTATAGACAAGGCAAGATATCAATAAAGGAACAAACAATAAAACTGAGCATAAAACACAACCAAAGAATATACTTAACATTTGTATAATTAAGAGATTTTCTGTTCTTTTTCTTCTCCTTCTACCTCCTTAAACATTATGATAATGTTACCTAATTACCTGTTCACAAACTCACAAACGAAAGGGACCATTACCCCAAACTCACAAACAAAAGGGACCATTACCCAAACTCCCTTTAATCTGTTCTATAACCTTTCCAGCTTTACTACTCCTATAAAATGTTAGGGAAGAAATACTAAGTTTTCTTTTCTGAACCACGATTCCCTGAACCTATATGCATAAACCAGATGTGAGTTTACAAAATATCACATGTGAAAGTATTACTAGAACACTGATAACACAGAAGATAAAAGCAAAATGCACAAGAGCGTCCAATATTTTAAAAGTAAAATAGCAGGCTCCTAATTACCTTGGGAAACTCACTGCCCTAGGAATTCTGATTTTATTCCATTTGCATATTCAGAAATTACTCACATGATCATTTAAATCAAGATTGTATTATTATAAGAAAATAATAATTTTTAACAAGTAAACCAATGCCATCTTATGTTATAATTTGAATTTATAAAAATGCATGTTTCAAGGAAAAGCAGGTTTATAAAAGCCTATGACAATAATTTATCTTAATGGGATTTTCTGGGTCATTAAGAAAGATCAGTCACAAGATCTTTCATAAAACAGAAAACAAGATTGAGAGGAAGAAAACAATTTATTACAGACATCGCTATAACAACCATCTAGTTAATGCATTAATTTTATATAGAGTAATAATTCACCCTTTTCTTATTGATTTCTAAGGATTCAATATTCTATTAGGAAAACAAATTGCCTATAAGAGAATTCTAGCATTAACATTACCAATTACTCAACACAGCTGCCCAGTCTGCATTTCCTTGTTGCAAATAAAAGAATGTAAAAATGTTCATTTGATTCAATGTATAAAGTGCAACACTTTGGTTGAGGGAAAGGAGAAGGAGACGGATGACACAGAATTAGAAAGATCAAACTGGAGGGAGGAAAAATGGTTAAGACAGACTTAAAAAGGAAAAAAAAAAAATCCAGAGCAGGAGAAAACAAAGAAATGAAAACTAAAGAGAAATTTCATCTTCACATACAAATTTTTCTCTATGACGACAAATTCCTGGCTTCAGAGTTAAGCTGCATCATCTCTGCAGACAACCAAAAAGGCATATTCATGTCTAAATAACCAATGGGATATTTTAATTCAACTGAGCAATTTTGAACTGTCTCTCATGTGCAAGGATGTGCAATGCCCACTAAGTATGGATACTTAGTGGAAATCATGCAAATAAGTGTTATCTTTTTCAAGGTGTCTCTTTAGTATGCCATATTGCTCATCATTTTAGCCGTGTTGCTAATACGAAACATTTCTGGAACTACATCAATCAGTATATAAACCAATATAAAGTTTATAGTCACAGCTAGTACAAAAAAAAACGACTTCAGGCCCTTTGACTGTTCTTCTCATAGTAACAAGATTTGGTTATTTCCAAGAGTCAACTCCACTCTTACTAGTTGATAATTAACCACCATTGAGGGAATCTGAAGCCAGAGTCTCAAACCCCGGAGGCAATTAGAAAGGGGAATTATACCAAAGTTTGGCTCCCAGAACTAAAACTACTGGCTATAAATGCGATCATCTTAATTGGGGTTGATTTAGTTTTAAGATTTATTTTTGAAATATTGCACCTTTTCTTTTTATCTTATCTGCTTGCTCCTTTCCCCACCCTCCCTTACCGGGTTTACATTTGCATAAGCTGTTAAACTAAAATGCAAGGTGTAAACACAGGGAATGGAAAGAAAGACGCAGGGAGGGGAAACGATAATCGATAGTTCAATGGATTCTCATTCTCCCTACCGATCAGATCGGTTCCCGTTCAGTTTGCACGGCTGTGCGCCACACCTGCGCCACACCGGACACTGTGCTATGCACCGGGAGTGTGCGGGGTGCACCTTGCGCAAATTCTCCCGTTATGACTCGCAGTGCCGAAATCAAGACCGGGACAACTCACATTTCAGGGCGCTGAAGGCCAGCTCGTAGGACGAGCGCCGAAAGGACTCATCCTCGGACTCGGCGAAGGACAGCAGCGGTTCGCTCCCATACTTGATTAAGACTTTCTCCGGCGACTTTTCGATCCGAATACCCTGGAAAATGTTCGCGGCCATAACGTAGACGGAGTCCGCATAGCCGGGTTTTTCGGACGCGCCAGGGGAGCTCTTCTCGCTGGGCGCGGCGTCGCCTGGCGCGGCCAGGGAAGCGGGCGGGGCGCGCTCGGCGTTTTCGTGGCTCGAAAACTGCAGTTCGCTCGCGGAGTTCCGCATGTCTGCCGCGAGTCTGTCGCCGGCAACTCCAGGTGCAATTACAGCTCGGATGTTCCCGGAAACGGTTTCCCTTTCGCCGCGAGCATCGTCTCTGCGGAGCGAAAGTTACCTCCGTGAGTCAGACTCCCGCGCAGCCGCTCGGCCGCCCCCCGTGGTGGCCCTAAAGACCAAGTCGGCATCTACCGGCCGACTCCAGCATCCCGCACTTCCCACCCGACAACCGCAACGAAACTTCCACGCCCACCAAAAAGGGGGTGGGGTGGAGAGGGGGCTGGAGAATCGCCTGGAAGGCGACGAGCGACGTTCGCCGCGGCCGGTGCGGGGCCGACCCCCGTGCGCCGCTCCGACGCCCCGCCGCCGCCTGCCGCCTGCCGCGGCCGGGGGGGCGCCCGCCGAGCCTCCCTTACCCCGAGGACGGACGTCTCCGGGGGCTTTAGGGACGGAGACGCGGCGGCCGCTGCCCTTGGGGCACCGGAGGCTGGTGTCGGTAACAGGCCCTCGGGAGCCCGGGGACGGCGGGGCTGGAGCGGCGGCCCGGGAAGGCCGTTTGGTTCAAATGCAGCCACTTCCACCGCAGGGTTCGGGGCGGGGGGTCGCGGCCGCGGGCGCTCGCTTCGCTCTGGTTCCTTGAGGAGGGCGCGCCTCGGGCCTCGCCGGGCCTCGCGCCGGACGGGGGCCTTTGAGGACTCGGCGGCGGAGAGCGGCGAGCGCGGGGTCCGGGAACTGGCGGGCTGCGGCCGCGGTAGGGGCAGCCTCCCCAGTCCCTCGCCTCAGCCGGTCCAGGTCTCCATGGCAACCGGGAGCTGGGGGCGGGGATGTGCGCTGCGCGCGGCACGTTCCCGCGGGATTTGGCGGGCGCTGCCTCTCGCCCCGGGAGTTGCGCTTCCGCCCGGGGCTCGGGACGCCGGTTTCAGCCCCTGGATGCCAAAGGCCCCTGACGGTTTGAGCGCCTGGGCGTGAGGGCTTGCACTTGGCTTTGTTTGAAAACACCTGTGATATTTTTGAGGCAGTCTGCTCTATAGCTAAGTCGTTTCAACTCTCGGGCACCTAAAGTCCTTGTTAAAAATGCGAATTCCTGGGACCCATCCCTGGAGATTGGAGTCGGTAAGTGTAAGGTGGGGCCTAAGAATTTGTGTTTTTTTCAGATAACTCAGGTGATTCTGATGCAATCAGTCCAAAGAACACAGTTTGAGAAACTCTGGTATAGTTGAGAGGCTACTAGTTCTAATTCCACCTCTGTCTCTAACACAGAAAAGGATTTTAATTTCTCTGGATTTCTGTTCCCTCTCCCATAAAACGGATTAATCATCCCTGCTTACTTTGCATGTGAATTGTGGCATTTGAGTCTTCCTTCCATCCTCCCACACACCTACCACACAGTATGTTCTCGTGCACAAAGTAAAATCCAAACCTTTCAGCAAGGCGGGACAGCGTCTTCTGCGACCTGGCCCTGGCCTGCCTTTCCAGCTTCACTGCTTGGCGTCCTTAAGCCAGTCCGCAAACTTTCGTTTCTTTGTACACGTTGTTTCCTCGGTCTGGGAAGCCCTTCCCTGTTCGTCCACCTGGTGAGCTCCAAACTGAACCTTTGAAACTCAGTGCAAGCATCACCTCTATAAAAGCCTTTCCTGATGCTTGTATTTGTTAGGGTGTAAACTTAGCCCCTGCAACAGAGACCCAAAATAACCACTGGCCTAAACGAAACAGAAGTTTATTTCTCACATAAAGTCCTGTTGCTATGGTGGCTGTCCTCCAAAAGTTGTCAGGGATCCACACTCCTTTGGGCTGCATCAAAGGGATTTGCCCTCTCCACGTAGTCCAAGACGGCTCATCACCATGTCCATTTCTGGCCAGTGGTTAGTGGGATAAAGGGGAGAGGGCGTGCACATACCTTTCAATGACCTGAAAGGTGCACACATCGCTTTTGTTCACATTCCATTGGCCAGAACTTAGTCACATGGGATACCCAGCAGTAAAGGAGGTTGGTAAATGTGTCCACCTAAAAATGAAGGGAACTATTACTATAGAAGAAGGGGAGAATGGACGATGGGGGACAATTAGTCTCTGCTACAGATCTCTATCCCTTGGCCGCTTCTCCCACCAGTCCACCCACTCCCATTATCCCCAGAATGTCAAAAATTCCCTCTTCTGTGTTCCCATAGCATTTTGTTCATATTCATTCATTAATTTAATAAGTATATGTTAAATTCCCATTGTGTGCCTTGCATTGTGTTCAGCCCTAGAATAAAAAATGAATGTATAGAAATTATCGGGGACCTTGCCCTCAAGAAATTAATGGATGAATATACTTGTATTTTGGTACCCTTTAATTTTTTATTATAAATATTTGAATATATAACTATATTCCCTGCCCTTCTGCCATCTTTCTGCCCACACAACACACGTATTCTAAAATAGTTTTGTTATCTCTTTATCTTTTCATTTTTATTACATGCCTTTCTATTCCCAGATACTAGCAGTATATCACTGTGTTTCACACACAGACATTCACAGAAGGTTATAAATACGGAAGGTGTCTTAGAGGTCATGATGTATTTTATCATACATCACAAAATACACAGTACAATCTGCAGAAAATGTGAGGTGATAGCTGTAAACCTGAAAATATTACTGTCTTTCAAAGTGTAATTTGAGGAACTTCTTTTTTTTTAATAGTTCAATGAAAGTGACACTTCACTATATTAAATACAAGAGTTAATGAGTCTATCCCCAAAGTAGAGGTTGGGCAAACAGTTGGGGGTTAGCAAATTCATGGTTACTATTTATTTTAATCGTGGGTTACTATTTATTTAAATCGTGCATATGATCCTACCTCCTCAATTCTCACTCCTGGTTTATAGCCTCACTGTGGACTTAATGTATCGGAGGGGAGGGTCAGAGGAAAGCATATTAAGTTTCAGTGAACACTGTAAAAAAAGTAACCACAGAGATAGGTGTATGGATTCAACTATAGTGAAAGCAAGGTAGCAAAAAAATGTAGTCTTTAAATTACACTGTGTAATGCGATTGGAACATTGGATCAGAGATGGGCAAAAAATTAGAAGTTAGGTACCTGGGACTTTCTGCCAAAGGAGCTTAAAGGAATGATTTTCTTACCCCAGGGGTTAGAGTATTTAAAATATTTGTAAATTAACATTCTTTGCATTTGACTCAGAGTACTAGTATGTGTTACACAGGACCATGGAAGATCAGCCAAAAGAGTCATAACCACTTGCAGATGGGGGGAAAAAACTCTCCCTTAATTTCGAAGCAGCAGAAGACTGATGGAACAAAGATTCCTGAAGGGTGGAGCAAATGGAGAGGAATAAAACTGCAAACCACACAGTTCAGAGTCAGTGCCATTAGAAACAACACTCTGAGAATTAGAAATCAAAAACGACAATAGCAACTAGGAAGAGTTTTAGTTACCTACGATGCAAAGGGAAGAAGGGACTCTGGAGAGTTACCATCTCAGCCTTTGATTGCTCCTTGTGGCCCAGGAGAAACATGATTGCAATAGATGACCATCGTGACAGATTGCACCCACACAGTGTTTCCCAGAGTTGGTCACTCAAGCACTTTCTCCATGATTTTTGGTTTCGGCCTATCTGTATACAACCGTTTATAGGATTTACTCAATATTTTATTTTTAATCAGATTCACTTTCTTACTAAAATAGAAAACTAAAAATGGAAATTCAGCGTTATTTGCTATAAATGAAAACAACCACCACAAAAGCAAAGCAATACTATTAAATGCTAGCTAGAAAAGGTTGTCCTAAGTCTCCAGGCTTGAGGTTGAAAGATTTTTATTGAAAAGGGACAGGAGCAATGTTAGAGAGGGGTTAAACATTTGTACAAAAATGAGACTTTCTCCTTAGCAAAAGGATTGAAAGAGCGTTGGATAAAGAGGCTTTCTCATTCAATGCCAAATCTACATACCACTCAAATCATCTCCCATACCTTTGGTGGTGCTGCCCCTGCACTTTGGGAAATACCACATTAAGAGATTGGAGTTCAAAAGCGAGTTAGAGGAACAGAGCTTTGTCTGAAACAAAAGGGAGAAAATACAAGAAATTCAGGAACTGGCAAAAAAAAAAAATGAGAAAAATCTCATGTCATAGGTGAATTCAGCCCACGTACATGGCCCCTGGTAGTGGGAATTTGAAACCAGAGTCAGAAGACCTTGTTTCTAGTCTTCAAATTGTCACGAATTAGTTGCATGACCACAGGCAACTCTCTTCACTTTTACATAGCTATTTCCTCATACGTTCAAGCTATGATTTATTTACTAAGAAAACAGCAGGTGGAGAAGGATTAACAGTCAATAGGCTAAAGTGATAGGAAGTCAAGAAAACAAAAATAAAGGGTTTCAGATTGCTGAGCAACATTGAGGCCCTAGATAACATAGGCACAGTGCCACCGAAATATTTTGGAGGCATATGTGGCTTTATGTGGCTTTATGATCTCTCCACATTTATGCCTTAATTAAGGAAACAAGAAGGAATAAAAGAGAGTAAGTAACCAGTTTACCAAACATCGTTAAACGTATGTGAGCACAAGAATTAATAAAGTCATACCTATCGGCAGGCTCAATACCAGTCTGGTAGAGATGGTGCCAATTAACATATCATTGTCAGTTACAAGGTGCTGGTACTATGTCATCGTTCTTACTTTCTATTTTGATGAGAGTTTTGTGATTTTCACACTGCTCTTGAACAAATAAAACTGTAATTTATATTTCATAATGTTTGTAGCAGATTTTGTATACTTGGAGGAGTTTTTTTTTTTCTCCTGGAAAGTTATGGGAGTAGCTTACTCACCTTGGGCATACTCCTTCCTTGCATACTATACCTATGCCACAAGTAATGGCCTACTTAAGACTCCAGTCAGGTGACTCTCAACTGTCCAATCAAAGTGGTTCCATGGTGACCTCTGAACTACGAGGGAGGTCCCAATCCAGCCACTATCAAACAAGACACAGACCATAACCAACCTCTCTCT